CATGTTAAAACTACAAACGTTTCCCTACTTTTCATTTAATCATCTTACTGTCTGTTTAGTCATGGACAACAATTTTCTTTTCATTTGAAGATTCTTTTGCATAAATTTTAAGAAAAGTAATCGCATTTATAACGTTCATCAATAAATTATCCTTTAATCTAAATACTATCTAACGAAAATATTTGTTTGATACTATAACCGTAAACACGTCGATTAAGTAATCTAAAGTGTTAAAAATATGGTGAAATTAACTTGAAATGAGTTCTGTCCAGATTTTCCACCTAACATTTCACTCGGTCAGATCGAAATATTGTACAGCATATTAAACTTAATTAATACTACACTGTAATAACCATCAACTTTCTCTGACCATCTTGACGTACACGAGGAATACAGCGAAAAGTTTGTTGAAATGAATTTCTGAAGACTATTTCAACACTTATCAGTTGATAGATATTTATCTTTGTTCCCCTGCACTGGTCATAGTAACCAGTGATGACTACACGACATCGTAGAATAAATAACATTTTGTTAAAGTTTTCTTATGTGTATTTTTGTAACAGAATTAGTGATACAATTACTAGTAAAAACTATTATCTTATTACTCTCATTTTTGTTTAAAAAAACACACACTCAAACTTCCTATTCTCAAGATTGCTAAATAGTTTGCTGTGTTGTACAAATAAGAAGAGATACAAAGTTTAAACTCAACACTTGGTTTAAATATTTTTCGGTCAATATATGGATGGTAAAATATTCACAAGTGGCTGATCAGTGCATCTAAATCTTTATCAATAAGTTCAGAGTATAATATGGTATGTTATTTTTGGAAGTAAATAGTTAGATTAACATGACGTCGTGGGGTTTATTTAAATCTATCTTTAAAAGATTTTCCATATAATACAATGAAAATTTATGAAGCGAAACTTTCAAAATAGTACGTTTTCAACCAATAAAAAGTTTATCACTTATTTTAATAATAATACTTATATATGTATTATTTGTATTAACTTATAATCGAATATTAATTTATCCATAAATAGATCAGTTTGAACAACCTAATTATATGTGATCTGAATAAAATGCTGGAAATCAGACAGTGATGTAATTACATTCAAATTGTCAGATTCGTGTTTCAGTGATTGTGAAAAGTAGAATGGTATTTAATAATGAATATGATAAATTTAAACGACCTTGTTGTCAGATAGAAAGTGTAATCATGTTTGTTTTTTCTTTATTACTTGCTATGAACAGCTACAAAGTGAAATCAAAGCTCGTATAAGTAATCCTAACCATATAAATCATTCAACTATTCTTTATTTTAATGTATTTATCAAAATTAAATAGTGATATAGGTAGAGTTGAGTAAAGCAGAGATTTTAGCGTTGTGTTGGACCATTTATATTCCATATAAATGATCGTTTTTAAAACTTTAAGACTGACTAAATTTGAAGCCTGATATTCATTTTGAAGATCAGTAGTCGTAAAGTTGTTTCAATTTAAACAGTGTGCAAAAGAGAGAAGAAAAGTCAATATAACTTTATTGAAGTAATTGTATAATCAAGATTTTTCATTAACAAATAATTTTTAACTTCGTAGTTAAATTTTTTATGCACTTCAATGTGGCCAAGGATTCGTTTGTAACTAATATTGTGGTTTGCGCTTCTTATATTGACATAATTAGTAGATGATATTAGTCGTGAACAGAAGGTCTGGTAGCAGAGAGACAAGAGGACCGAACAGTAAAGAATGGAAACAAGATGCAATTTGTATGACAATGAAGTCTGAGTCATTATGAGACAATTGATGGACATTTTGCAAATTACGTATTTACTATTTGATTGTTAGATTTTATTAATAAGTCCTGTAAGTTTGTGTCAAACACATTCGATTGTCCCCACCCGTGTTCTGTTCACTCCAATATTATTACGCCTTCTACTACTATTGCCAATTATTCTCAATTTTACAGTCTCAGAGCAGTGGAAATGTATAATATTGTAATAAATTCGTTATTTCTATTATTTGATGTGAAAATATGAGAAAATTTACACATTATACATGTACCAAAGCTAAACCGATTCGCTTCCTAACAAAAAGCATAATCGACACTTATATTAAGTAAATGATTAAACATCTAGATAATGTTAAACAACTGGTCAAAAACTACCGATCATTATATATATATATATATATATATATATATATATATATATATATATATATATATATATATATATATATATTGTATGTATATATTGTATATTTAGTCAGAGTGCATTCTATTTAATTTGCTTCATGTAAACTTTATAAATATGAAAATGAGTTTCTCATACAAATATGGATTTTAGTGTAAAGATGATATCTTAATAATGTTGTTAAGCTAATTTCGAATATTACAGATTTCAGGAACCCGTGAAAAATATCTTTAAACTCGTGTTTATTCTGTATGCATGAATTGGAAAATTCAAGCGAAATCCACTCTTGTTTGATCATAAATGTAAATCCAGAAAGCTTGGAATATTTTACGACGATCAAATGAGAAATGTAAGATTGAGTGAAAATTTCTATTAAAAATATATATATTGCATAATGTAATTATAAGCTACCATTGATTACCAAATGTGTTACCTTGCATGAAAGTTGCAAAATCAGATGAGAGTTAAACCTATTGCCTAGAAATGAACCGCTGAAAAAGAAATGAACTAGTGAAGTTGTTGATAGTTTATCTAATTTGCGTGATCGGACTGAAGCTTTCAATTCATCATGCAGATACTAATCGCAGAATGTTTTGCATACCGTTTAAAACTGAAGGCAACTCTAGTTTTTTTTTAATGTAGTGGCAAGAATATAGTTGATAATAATTTTGTTGTACAGACATACTATTCATTTTTGAAATAGTATCTTATCAGATAACTGCATTATACAAGTCATGAATCAAAGTTTTGGAGTCAACCACAACATTTAAAATTAATAAATGTCAGGAGATGACGTTTTTTACTGGGCTTTATTTAAAAAGAATATATCAACTGGTCCGTCAGTAGAATTGAATGGGAACTTAATATGTATTCCCCACATGAACCCCAAATATAAATGTGTCTGACAAAAGTCATCAACATTAATTATTGCAACTAAACAAACAGAATTATCTCACCTTTGAAAAAAATTAGGAACAAAGGATGATGTTTGCAACTTTTTTATGTAAATCAATTCGAATCGTCAATTCGTATTTGATTTAATTTGATGAATAGACTAGAAGTGTTAAAGAAACTTTCCGGAACTGAGATGCTTACAGAATAGTAACTACAAAATTCAGTGTTTGTCTAAGTTAATATTAAAAGTAAACAATCCAGGAGAATTGTGGTTGCTAATTCAAATCATGTGGAAAGTCTAAAGTAACTGAGCTGGAGTCTTTAAGTTTCTAATTGGAATCAACAGAAATAAGCATGCGTAATATTATGGTTCAAAAGTGACTGAAACGAGTTCGCATTTTATTATTTATTTCATACATTTATAATTCATAATGATCATTTGCATTTCAGTCTCATATTACTCGCTACATTGTTTTTGATACCGCAGATAATTAGCCATATTCTTCAGGCTAGCTAAGCACTTTCTGTTTGATACACATTACTATTTAGATATAGTTAATGTGTATGCTGCTAGGATAAGTTATGTGTTCTAAACAAAAGGCTTTTTAGGTACTGATAGTGCGATGATAATTGCTTTCGCAAAACTGCATATCCTGATATTTCCAGGGAACTCTTCTATTACCACTAGTTTGAAATTTACTGACAAGCGATACAAGAAAAAAGGATATTAAAGAGCTAAACTTATCACTTAAAGAATGAATGAATCTATCAAAGAAGCTTGTCCATTTTTATTATTTTTGCACATGATGTTCATTATGGGTTGATCTCATTTGTGAGAACTGGATAGATATTCCCTCTTAGTATTGTCGTCTTCAGCAGTTGGTAGTTGTACCAAGGATCGAAGAGAGCACCTTAAGACTTCTCAGGAGATCCTGAAGAGTGAGAGTCATGGATGTTCACTGATGAGGAGTCACAAAACAGAAAGGAGAAACTATTCAGTTCTCCCTGGCTTCCAATGGCATTCCAACTGAGATCAACCCATAAAGAATATGACTTACAGACTAATTTCCAAAGAATCCCTTCATGCTTACTACTTGTATAGTGGTGTATGCTACTTATTGATGTGCATAAGTAGTATGTAACATCAATCAGAAGTGGAATGCCTGTCAGCAGAAGGTAGAAAAGATAAAATAGAAACACCAATCAAAAAGAGTAATCGTAATAACAATAGAAATGATGAAATTTGCAAGAGACAAGTGAAGAAAGATATGCAAATGTAGTATTTAATGTATGATTTTCATATTCTATCAAAGAACTCTGTAATTTTGCATTAAACAATAAGATGTTCCTCCCGACTAGGAGTCTTCGTTTACGACAATATGAGTTTCCAAAGTTGATACTCAACTAAGGGGAATTTAAACAATTGAGAAATGTCGAGTTTTCTCAGCTTACAATTATATCTTCAGATAAAATATAAATAATAAACAACAACTTTAGAAGGAGGATAACATTGGACAACAAATGTTTGCAAATAATGAAATTAGATAAAAAGGAATACGAAAAATCGTTTCTTTCATACACGTCTATAATAGAAAGAAAGTAAATAAAAATACTTCGAAAAAATCAGAGAAATAATATTATTTGAGCAAAAGAATTCCAGAAGTCAGAAAATTTAATGTCAGTTTATGCCATCATCACCATTGTCTAGAATTATTAGTTATGTGAATACCGAACAGAAATAAATAAACAAACAGAACAGAGACCATCATAAAAACCAGAATGCAAGAAAAAATAGTGATATAACTGGATATTCTGAAAATAATCACATATAAAAAGTTATGAAATTGTACAAGAAACATATGATGAATATAATAACGTTCGTGTCAAGTATAACAGCTTTTAATTCTCATCCTATTTATGATTTTCTGTAGCCATAACTTCGTCACATAATCTGTTTATAATTTCAGAATACAGCTTTCTGGCTCTATATCGGGAAATCTTGAATGTTGGAGTGAGCAACCCATTTTCTATTGTGAAAGTTTCATCAGTCAGATGGATCTTCTTCAACTAAAATCATGTTTTTTTTCGGCACAAAATGAATATAGGCTTGAAAGATTTGGTAATAAACTAAGTTAAAACAATGATCACCTAAAGTTATAATATGATTATGTATTTAGTATAACACTCTCTTCAATTTAAGGCCAAATATATATGTAACTAATAGATATATCTGATTGTTTTTAATGTGTAACTAAGATTCTAACATGATAAGGAAAGTGGGACGACTAAACAACACTAAATTGCTTGAACAGCTCAATTATTATCCATTGGTATAAATTACTATGTGTTTCGTTTGAATGACTGATGTATTTTATAACTACTATGACGTAGACCAAAAGACTATACGCAATGCAATGTTGATTTTCACTAGCTTCTTCATTGACTTTTCAAATAAGTTGTTTAACTGTCCCGTCTTTCGCCCATTTCTAGCCTAAAGATGAATAAATGTATGTGCCCTCAACATCGTCTTTTTTTTCTAAGGGCATATATTAGCGCTCTTGTTAAACTAAATAAATTCTGTAATTTTTGACACTTTTCTTGACAGCGACTCTATCATCACTTTTAACATACAAAAAATGATGGGAAAATAAAAAAATCTAAGAAGTTCGCGCGTTCATGTCACATAAATTTCATCTGGTTTTACTGATTACAATGATGCTAGATCTAAGATAACGAACGTTTTCTACTGTATTCAATTTCAGATTTGAGAAATGACCCGTATTCTACTATTATTAATGCTGATCAGAATAACACTTTATATAATCTAACAAAAACAACTTACTTTTTCAAATCCTTTCAGAAATCTTTCATTGGCGATTTGATCCAAAACATTTAGATATTTTCGATGGACAGATTCATGTTGACATAAATCATGATCGGATAAATTAACCAATTCATGATCTGTTTTGCTAAGTGATTCACGTAATTCGTTGAAGTTTGGAACTATTATAGCTACAGGATAAATGGATTTAGGATTGGCATCAATAAAAATTTGATTGATTAGACCACAACTTTGATAAAGTGCCTCCAGTTTTTCTGGTGCTACATATTCACCTTGAGCCAACTTGAAAATACTTTTAACACGATCAACTAACATCAATGAACCTTCCTAGAGTGGATAAAATATGAAACATTACATGAAATTCATAATATCACTAGCAACATATTTTGATTACGATTACAAAAACTGTTAGTGACCACGGTCGAATGTGTCATGAAGCAAACTACGCATTTATGTGGTCTAAGTTGTCATTTGACGACACTTTAAACATATGGAAGAACATTTATGAACCAATGAAATGATTTATAGTAAAAAAGTTAACTATAAAATTTTGACAACGAAAGTTGTAAGACGATTTTATTTATTCATAAGATATGAAAATCTTTAAATGAGAAATAAGGTTACGTACATTATGACATAAAATTAACTATACTTCATTATTAACTGGTATATCACATGAATAATCAGAGACTCCAGGTGTAGTTCACTATAAGAGATCAAAGTAATAAACACTACCATAGTAATAACCTGCCTAAGATTTTTACCACTGCTTTATTGTAAGATAATAACGTCAAAACAAATATAAAAATTATTAAGGAAAACAGATCAGCTTTTGGGACGATGAGGAATTTGAGGAAATATTTCAACTAATTTTCAGGCCATTTACAGGTTTATTTAATATCCAAATAAGTAACGAAAACAGTGAAATATCGGTTTGTCAACTTTCAGGAGATTCGTATCTCTAAAATTATGTAGAATTACAATGATTTAATGTAATAAGTTTGGAAGTAATGGTGAACAATAAAATGTCATTCAATCAGATTCTACAGTAAAAGTTCTATTCCTATTTCATCATATCATTATTATCCACTATTATTCGATCTCAAGTAAACATTTTATTATGAATATAATAAAATTTTCCGAGAGTATTGACTGATTCTAGAACACTCCGTCAGAAGAAATCGCGGTGAGACTATAATTTATGGACGACCTTTGAGCGAAGCTAAAGTGACCTTAAGAATGTCCACCTACTTAAAAGGGCTAAATGAAGATTATGAAGCAGTATGAAGAATAAGGATTATGATTTACAAATGACTGCTAGGGTTAGGAATTAGATTTATGGTTTTCATCACTGACTGACATCAGCTATAATGCTAAAACGCTATTTAGACAAATGGGTAAATGAATATCGAACCAAAATTCAAGATCATTTATCTTAAGTCTGATTGGTTCGTCCGTAAATTATAGTCTCACCGAATTCGCTAGTTTCGAAATGGAAATTAATTTGGTCAATAGTACACCAAAATCACGTAACATCCAAGCACTACTAAAACCATTTTCACAAGTAGCAAAATGTAGAAAATCTTCATTGATGATTGCATTCAGATAAATTTTACATTTACTGTAAAACTGGCTGCTCTAGAATAAGCAACTACTAAACGTAATTCATCACAGTAACCATCACGAAACAACCTCGTGCATATAAACACAACTTCGTGAGACAAACCAGATATATATTGTTATTTATAACTGTTACTCAAACAAACTGATATCTAATAAGATTATATTCATTCATTCCCAAAGTACACTCTGTTAGCCTACAATTTTAAAAAACTTAAATATTTGTCGCTAGATATTTTTGGCATTACCATATTAACAATTGATTCCAAGAAAAACAGTATCATATTGTGAACTAATTAACACTTTTCGTAAAGCAACGAATAATGGTGTTGAACCACTTAACTGTAATCCAGTCGTTTAAGTGCTTGGTGATTCCCTAATGACCCAGCTTTCTAGAGTAAACTTCTCACGTGATCATCAGATTTGCACTGCTAAGGAGTTCAATATTAGAATGGACTAGCTGTCCTATGTCTTATTAGTTTTCAATGATTTAATCGATTTGTGAGGATCAAACACAAAAGGTAATCGATTTGTCAGCTTTAGTTGTCGAATAACGAATCGGCCGTCCAATTAAATGTTAATGACATGTAGACGTTCAGTAGTGGTGAATAAATTGAAATGAAGATGAATACATCTGAATTTTTACTAAATCTGATTTGTCGTAGTGTTAGCGATATATAGATAGGTTATTTTTAACCAATCAGCGCTAGTGGATACTTGCAGAAGATTATAATCTTCTTACGTAAAAATTACAAATATACTAACTTTTGTCTGATTGTGATTCTTACTTCCATCCAACCTTTTTATTTGGAATATAATTACGTTCCTGTTCAACCAAGTTCTGATTCGGAGAATTGTCAAGTGAATTGGTGTCCAAGATTACTAAGCAATAAGAGTAGCTGGGTCACAATAAGAGAAATCATAACATGAAGTGATCATTTTCATAGATTTGCTAAGAAAAAACGTCATACAGAAGTTAAAATGACTACTAGAATGAAAAAAATGATATCCTTACTGGGGTCCATTCTCCTATATCTCCAGTATGTAACCAACCGTCTGAGTCAATTAGCAGCGCTGTACTTTGAGGATCTTTGTAGTAACCTTTGGTGCAACGCTTACCTTTCACACATATCTATAAAAAAAAACCTAAATTTTGTTTATATTTAAAACATACTGGTAACATTTGTAATCAAAGCTCCAATATGAACACTAATTTCAATCCTATCAACTAAATATCAGTAAATGTTTTTAAGTTAGGGAAGAAAGAACAAATGAAAATGATAACTGAAAACTGAAAATGACAACAATAGTCTCATACAAAACAACAAACGTTACACTTTAACAGACAATCAAAACACAGAGACAGATGACATGTTGATCAAGGAGATATCATTGCATTCTACAAATATAGTTTAATTCGGATGTAGTATTTAAATGCCAGAATAGCCATATTCTAACAAAATAAAGTTGTAGATCACGTAGGATGAATGTTAACCACAGACACTCAACCAAGAATTTTTATCCTACTGCCTTAAAAGGAAGATTCATGGTGCTGTTTTCCGAAATTAAAGCAGAATGAACGTACAAATTTTATAAATCTCAGTACGTACGTTGGTTGGAGTGTCAATAAATTTTCAAACTTCATATAATGACCTCATTTCGACAATTCATAATTGAACCACTCAACATAGAGGATATAATTATCCGTTCATAGACTGGATGAAACACTTAGTCAGTTTTCAAAATAGTTGTAACACTTCTTTGGATTTCATGGAAAATCGTGAAAAACTTCAGCACATAAAAAATGACTAAACTATATAAAGATACATTTTTAATGAAAGTTTACTTTATTAAAAAATGTACCACAAAGGAAATTAAGTTATCAACAGACACAAAAGCTCACCTCTCCACGATTATCTCTTTTGACAACAAGACCTAAATCTAATACGTCGGCCAATTTAACTTCTACACCATAAGCAACGGCACCCAAAGCACCAACACGAAATTCTCCGACTAAAGATACGGTTACAACTCCCATAGTCTCTGTGCAACCAAAGCCTTCGACAACCTAAATATTTTTAAGACCAGTTTAAAAGTGACTAAGAATTAAAGATTAAAACGTGTCAAATGCGCTATGAGATACTAAATGACAATTCGGTTAATATTTGTTAAATTTAGTGAATTTTATTTATGCAACGATCCTTAAATATGGTTTCATATACCATTTAAACCTACTAAAATGAATGCACTGTCACCGTTAAATATTTTTTCGACAATTACTAAAAATCCGTGATATATTCCTTATAACATACTGGATAAGTCCAAATATGCTATCAGTTAAATAATGGACTGATAATGAGTTTGCTACCATATTTTTTTAAATAAACTCTTAATAACTACAAATATGTGAATCAATCTACTTTACTACTTCTATTAAAAGATGATAAAATGAGATAAATAATGAGAGTAACTTGAAGTACTAAAATGTTGAAAGGTTTAAAACTGAACGTAATAAAGAAATACACGTTTACACTTAGAAATTTACTTTGGAACTTATAATTGTCGAATTTTTATCACCTGATGCTCATCATCTATCAGGAAATCTGTTATTAATATTTGATCAAATCTTGATGCCTATAAACTGTGACAAAACTGAGCTTCGCATATTATGTGGCAAACCGCATATTTCGTAAGCATTTTGCAGACATTTTCAAGAAATTTTTTCGTTTATCAAAAATGAAACCTGTAATAGAACTTTTACTTGCCGACTCCAGGTGGTACACTAACCAAAATACTATTTAACATACAACCTTACTGATCTGATGCGATTTCATAGAATAACAAGCACAACGATAAAATATCTAGTTTTAAAAAGCAAGGATTGTTTACTAATAATAACCAGTGCTTATCGAATACATTTATGGTGTTAATAATTTAAGTGAAGTCTAATGGATCCAATTCATTAATCAAACAGATAAATTGACTATTAAGAAGTTAATTATTTATAAGGACTACATTAAATGATTATCTACAAATTATGCAGAACATCGAAAATAGTTATTGCGACTGCAGTGCGTGTGCAGCTTTGAAAACATATATCTTGCAGAGACTGTCACGACTCGGAATACATTAATTGTTTCATATTTAAAAATACCAAAACAATACTAGTTTGAACGAATTTACATATACAGTTTTTGGCTTACAAGTCCATTAAATACAGCACGCATAAACTGTGTAATTTCGGGCATCAAAGGAGCACCGCCTGTTATTATTCCACAAATACGTCCACCAAGAGATTGGTGAAGTTTTTTAAAACAAAGCGTGTCCAAAATACTTTGATGATTAAATTTCCCCCTAATGAAGAAGAAATTGAATCTTTTAATCTCACTTTTATTCACCAAGATAATAATCAACACAAATAATTCCACACTAAAGTGCTATTATTAGATAGAAAAATCAAGGTAGAAATCAATATGTTCAAGTTACTGCACTTTAAAAAGCTATAGAAAATTAGAGAAATGGAAGAATATTATTAATATTGAGTTAGTAATTCTTATACGAAACTGGACCACGGAGACAAATGGAAAATCACTAGTAGATGAGAAAATCAATTGTATTTAACAATCCGACTACAAAGTATTCCGTGGAACACAGACTTCTAGTTGACTCATCAAATTAATAGAACAAGTTTGCTATTACTAGCACGATACAATGAAAGTATTCATTCGTAAATCATTTAAATCAAGAATTGAGACAACTGATATTCACCAGTGGCGATAAACTTCCATATGAGTAATCAGTTGAACCAGTGATATTAACGTTGATGACAATATTATTTTGTACCGAATGCGATACAAGTATGTGTCTTACATAGAATGGCTTCTTTTGAACCTGAATCTATTCAATAACTATCCACTTTTCATATGACTCCCAAATGTCACTACCATCTCATGAATTTACTTAGTGCTAACTCCAGGATAAAAAAACTCAAAAGAATAAAAAAAGATTGTAGATTCATCTACAAGGCTTCAAGTCATACTTATTGAAAGTACAAACCAAAGATGTAAACGAAGAACTTTTAAGCAAATACATACTCAAAATATTTCAGTACGTAAGGATATAAATTTTAGGATACAGTTATTAGATATGGATATATTAAGCGTTAGGAATATTTAAACTGTTGTTTCAATTAACAGATAGATCATGTTTCACCAAATACAAAAATCCTTAGGATTAGAAGGCTTTTGTAAATACATAATGATGAGAAAGTTGGCTTGTGATACGGTGAAAAATCTACTAACAACTGATATGTACATTACATAGGTTTTGAAACAGAAGTGTCCAAAGTCATACCCATGTTTAACATCAAATGTGCCATTAGACTCAATACCTGGGTTCAGGTTAGTGACGGCTAATATGGCTTGTATTCTCTGAAAGTCGACCATATTGGAATTCGACTAACTTTTGGCGTGGGTTTGCATCATAGAAAACGTTTTTCACTATTACAATAATATCGACTATGCAACATGAACTAATATCAACTAATAATTTTTTAACCGCTGCACAATTTATGACAAGAGAGTATTTACCGTTTTTGTTCACCAAGCTTTTGCTTTATTACATGATTAACCAAACGAGTTTTTAGAGCTGATCCTTCAATGGCTTCATAATACTTGGTATAAATACGGGATAAAACACGTGGAACAGCAGTTAATACAGTTGGCTTTAGACTTTCACAATCAGCAAGTAGTCCATCGACAGTACTTGTCAAGAACCCAATTTTAGCTCCTTCGAGAATGACAACAGACTATAAAACATTAATTAAGCATATAAAAGATGAATTATACTTTCAGACAAACGTGACTACAACAAGATCAATTATGCCAAATATTGTACAATTCATAATTAAACTTAATATCAACTCTGTGAATGTGATTACATGAGTAATCTCCAATATATTTTTGTTAGTAAATTGTTCGACACAGGATCCAGCATTAGTATTACAAACTGAACAGAAACAATAGATAAACAAGCTACTTTGGAATAAAGAGGCATTTGGAGCAAAATCACCAATAATTATATGCATATGATTTGTTTTACATCTTTCTTTTTAATCCATGTTTTCGTGGTTTTGATGTCTTTGAGGTGCCCAAACTTAAGCAGTTGTTCATCCAAAAAGTTTTAATCCCGAGTCTTGACGTCAAACGTTTGCTACCAGGAAAAGGGTAGTCAAGTGCAATCCTATGCATGGTTTACTCTATTAGAATCTGAAAGTTTATGTCCAACCGTGTCTATAAATTCTGGGTTTCTCGTCTGTCTAACCCATATCATAGTTGTGAAGAGATTTCTGAAGTTCATATGTAATACTGGGCATATGGGACCAACTATACCTTGTATATGGTAATTTTACTTAGTGAAATCACGGAATCAATGATGTTAGAATGATGATTTATGATAAGTTAAGAAACGGATGTAAATTTGGGCGAACCGATCGCTATCGCACGAGTTATTGAATATTCCTCACTAATATAAGTGATTATTATTACAGAAGAATTGAAATTCATAAATAAAACATATCAAGCTGTGACATTAGTTCACAGAAATATTAAATTTGGACCGTTTGGTTTTCTTTCTGTGGTTTAAAATTATTGATTGATGGTCATACGCTCTAACTCATACGTGGTCGTAAGTGTGCACTTCCGAGAATTATTAGCTTTTGAATGCTACTCAAGCAGATTTCAACTTGTAGAGAATACCAATTTCGAAATACATCAATTTTCTCACATTATATTATCGCAAACAATGATTGTCAACCTAATCCGTCTTACAAACTACTGTCCATGTAAGTATCATTTCCAAGGTTTGACTTGATTATCTCGAATAAATTGAGCATTAGGTAGATTGTTATAAATAAATAATATTCTCATTGTTCCGTTTGTACTATTTAACTTGGATTAATTTTGATTTGGTTGTTTATTCTCTGAAGAAGTGGCTTACAATTAGTCACGAAACCTCAGAAAATCGCCTTTCTTACTCATTGGGATATTACAAATATATTATTTATTTACTCTCCATGTAGTTAAGATTCACGAGAAAAATTAAACAGGTACCTGAAAATTTCGATTGATACTGGTGTAAGAACGTACGTGCAGATGAATGCATTCTTTTCCGTATTATACACAGTGTATAACTTATTATTTTTTGCTATGTACTCCCCATTTTGCTTTGTTCTTTTTATTACCGATTATCGTCATTAGTGTAATTAATGACGACAGTTATGTTGTTTCTATTTGTTGCTTTTCGCTATTTCTCCTGATTCCACGTGTGAAAATGAAAATTTACATTAATGTTCTCTTCGTTCATCCGTCCAGTGAGGAGAATATAAAAGTAGTGATTAGTAACTACACTCAACTATGTTAACTAAAAAAGGGTTGGAAACCGATAGTCAAAGAAAAGCAATCCTTGTTTGTATATCGACAGTCAGCCTTTTAAAACAATATAATACAGCAGACTGCTAATTACGCTCATACAATGTGAAGTCGCAGATTTTCTAAACAAATGAGTTTAGTCGTTTCTGTTCATTGATCTTACCAACTGCTTTCATCAACTTGTATAGTTGATTATATATATATATATATATATATATATATATATATATATATATATATATATATATTGAAAGTAAGATGTTCAGTATTTGAATGATGATATTTATCAGAGCCATCGGATAGAAAGCTTAATTATGCAATTATCCGAAAAGAAACTGCTAAATATAGTGATTTCTAAAGACAGTGGCGTTTATTATGATTTTAAGTCTTTCATTAAACTGCATGTTACATCTCCAATTTTCAAGTTGCTCACATTTCTTATATTTACCATAACGATTGCACACCAAAGAGCGATTTGTGCTACTCAAAATTACGTTTAGTTAAATTTTTAGAATGTATTTTTGTTAACATGGCAGTATTATTAAAGGAACGACACAACACTTATGAGACCTTTTCGGATTTTGCTTAGTATTAATTAGATTACGATTGCACCTATAAACGTAAAACTATGAATCGAGCTCAACGTTTGTATTTGTAGATGTGGAAAGTGATAGTCTTATGTTTATAACAACTCGTTGCTCAATGACGATGAAATGCAATACACTGAAGCAAGCAAAAAAATTGGAATGTCTAGCGAGATCACGTATCTTTAACTTAATACAAGATAAAGGATACGGTGATATCAAAATTAATTCTAGGGGTCTATATTACTAAGTATATGGAAATTTTATACAACAGTGATTTCAGATTCCTAATAAATGCCTATATCGTTTCAAAGAATTAAAATCAGGATGATAATATCAAGTACGAACGATCAGTTTAGGATCAAAAAGGTACATGTGAATATTGCTCAAGTCTACTACTAGACTCAAAAATACCAAAGTTTCACGGTTATATCAGAACGTTAGTTGATAGCAAAAAATGTATTATTTCAGAGTTTAGCCAAGATTTTAGAGCAAATATTTGAGGAAGAAAATGGTAAGTTGTGTAATGATTTTGTCAAATAGATGATTATGCAAGTGGGTTTGAACAATAGTGTAATAAAGTGCTTCAGAAACGAAATTCTTCGCTATCTTTGGATAACCACTAAAAATGTATGTTAGAGATGAAAACTTAATAAGAAGTTAACCAAATTATCGTGCCTCTGGTCCAATCTAAGGGGGACAAATACGAAAAATAAATGTTCAGACCAATAGAGCTCTTAATAAAATTATCAAAGGAAGACCAGGTCAAAACTACTTAATGCCATGGAAAGTCGAGGTTATAGTATTGCTTTCCGCAGACTATAAAGTACAATTTGAACAGAATTACACCACTTGCTAAGTCGTTGGAAAAAAATTTAAGAATGTGGTAAAATCATTTATAAGTAATAGAACATAATATTTAGAAAATCGGTCAAATACACCATATCCGAGCTAAGCAAAAATAATGAATATTATTCTGAACACCACAATATGTTAGGTCTCGTATATTTTTCATCGAATGGTAGAGCTGAATCGATAGGATGGATAGTTGCGTCTCCAATCTGCTGGTAATCATAATAAGATTTGTTATTATTAAGGAGAGTGAGCTGAAAAAGTAACTACGGTATAGTATACCAAAATCTCATTATCCTAACTGTGAAACAAGACAGATCAGATAATAAAGTTTTACCTGAATATACTCCAATTTTTAAAAGCCTAAACACAAGTAAATAGATGGCAAGAGTTTACGGAAAACTAGATTCGCACGGACGTAACCCTAAATTGCAAAAACAATCCGGAAGCACATGTACTATTCACTGAGATCACACAATACCCCACTTCAGAAACAAAGAATGAAAATTTAGGTCCTACTAACCACTTCCCTTCCATCATAAATTCTCTATTCAATACCGTTGATACTTCGGAAAAAATAACGAATGTTCATGAAGTCACGGAAATACTTTAAATTTTGTATAGGCCAGAAACGAAAAATATATATGGGAAAAGTATACTCGAAAAAGAAATAAAATTAAATCTAGTAAGAAAGTATAAACTGGATAAATCATAGGCATGAGTAAATACGCAGTGATCTATGAATACTATATACTGTACTCGATATTGCTTATAATTATAAACAGAGATATGACTGGACGTAAAAATCTTTGCTTAAGAAAATAAAGATGTTATAGAATTTTAATAAGACGGGTTTTGAGCCCGATCTGAATCTGAAGGATGTTTTGATACCAACCCTAATCAAGCAAACAATAAGGGGAATGATCGATACAAATACTCAAATAGATACATAGGCGCATTTTACACTGCAACGGTCGCGAATTTATCTTGACTATCTAAGCAACTTTTGATACTTAAATCGGTTTGTGTATAAAAAATAAGGCATACAATAAAACTCATAATGAACATTGTTTTGCAAGCATAAGTAATCCACATTCAAGAACATACAAGTTATGATAAACTCACGGAGTTTACTTGCTCCATGATATGAGCAAATGGCAAATATGAAAGATGCGTTGATAATTTATTACAGCACTAAAGAAACAAAAATGAAAGTAAATGAAAATACAGTGAATTCCATACAAAAAACATCACTACAATTCAAACAAAAACAGCGCGATTCTGAATAATAATATGCCTATTTTTAATTTTTTTTTTAAAGCGACGTAAAACCATGACAACTATTAAAATCTTTCATTACAGTACGGTGACATTTTCTTCTTATCAAGTGGGGTGTTATGAAGAGGTTGAAATTCTGATTACTCACGTCTTATTGACTATAACTAACTTCTTGTCTGAGCCATATTAGTAGATACAGACTACTTGGTTGGGGGCCGCACAACTATCGTAACGAGTGTGGGGACTCTGGATGACATGGCTCAGAATCGATCACAATGAAGTAGGTGTATACACTCTTTGTCTTCCCTTAAACCGTGAGATTATAATTACTTTACACCTTTCTTTCTACGAACTAATTCTTTATCCTTGTATCATATACTTACATGAAATTTTTTACTACCATTGAAATAACTGCTTCTATGAATTTGGCGTTCATCTTGTTGTGCTAATGAGATATGATAACTTGGATCAATGCATATATTTTCCTGGTCCTGAGTTGTAGCTGACTGATTGACTGCCCATAACCAGTTGTACAGTAAGCATTCGATATACATCCTGTTAATTCCGGAATGTGGCAAACATTGATACGTCTTTCCCAATTAAGACAATCAATAATCATTATTTTTCACATACAAATTTGGTCTGAGTACATATATCTATAACTGACAAATGACTTACACTAAAATTAATACACATTTAGACAATTCACATTGGCTCCAGTAGACAGACTGTTATTTGCGAGGATGATTGAGCTGAAACCCTAATAATAATTAGATTGAATAGTAAACGTTGTTACCGAAAAATAACTCATGTCAATTCGGCGACTTTTTTCTTTTAACTTAAATCTTTACCCCAGTGCCAAAAATGTTTTACACGTAAGGAATGCAAAAATTATCTTGAATGAATGCAGATATAATATACATATAACAAAACATAATACCGCAAACATATGTATGTATGGCGCGACAATATACCTTTTTCATCCATAGATGCCTTGAATTAAAAGTTTTGCTCTATAAAACAACCCATACAATCAATAGTATTTGTTCCACTATCAAAAAATTATAAGTGTGGAAGAACGGATTATTCATTGGCAAAAAGCATACGAGCCTGGTTAAATCTAGTGAATTTCACGCTGTAACAACAAACCAGTCAGTCATAATCCCTAACATTGATGTGAGTAAAAAGGAGTTATGAGGTCATGTGGTTAGACATGATTGCCAAGATTTAAGTCAGTCACTGTAAATAATTGTTCTGAGAATAAACAATCGATAACGTAATAGAATAACCGAAAATGTACAATCAATTCACTAACCTTCTCTTCAGTATTTTCAATGATTCCAAAGACTGCATCGACAATTTGTTGTTGTTCGATCATCACACCTTTTGGTAAACCTACACATAATGTATAAGAAATCAGAGATCAGGGGATATTTATCAGACATCAAGAACCAAAAGAACTAACTAACCACAAACTTTACATTCGACATAGTTTGTGAAACTAAATTACTTCATACAGCTCCAGAGTCATCCTATTTTCGGTAAAAGCCAACTGATCAGGGTCCGTTTATCGGGAGTAATAAAGTTCCAACCCATCCTAGCGATTCAATCACTAGATCGTTGCAAAACGGCTACATAATTTTCGATTATCTCGAGCAAACAAGAATGGAAGTCAGTATTTTGTTTCAAGAACGATTTTCATAGATGAACAGAAAATTGTCTGTCCATAAAAACTACAAGAAGCTTAATAAATCATAACAAAATGAAATAAAACGAGAAAGTAATTATAAAACTACCTGTGCTTCCACTGGTAAAGCAAATCATATATAAATCATCTGGTTTAGGATCCTAAACAAAGTTAAAAATTAAGAAGTTAATTTACACTTGACATATAACAATCATATAGAATAACATTTACTAACTGTCTTTTTGCCTATTATTAAACGCTGTAATACATTGCACGCGACAAACGCCTTATAGTTTTAAACCATATTAAGATTAAAGGTGTATTCTAACGTCATTTATCAACTAATTATCTATAAAAGTGAATGTAACTCAGGTTGCTCTAACTAATAACTGATCATTTGCAAAAGTGACACATTCGAGCTAAATGTTTTTGGATGGTTAAATTGATGTGTCTGAGAAATGTAGACAATCCATTTTAGCATCTTTATATTTCATCATTTTAGCTAATACATTTTGTGTTAACACTACTCTTGTTATTTGTTTTTAAGACTATACAGTGGCCAGATACCGATGGAATCACGTTTGAATTATCAAAAAATGTATATTCATAATAAATGAATTCCGATGTTTCTTAAATTATTATTGAATTATAAAAGACTTTTATTCATTGATTTGTAATTTGATGAAGTGGATGGTGTTTTAAGACTGTACAATGACATATTCAAAAGAAAACATTAATTTCGATTTATGCAACAAGTAGTTTTAGGAACAACCTAACTGAACTCTAATAAAGGAAGGTAGTAGACAAAGTAAAATTGCAAGTCCTCATATCCGACTCTTCATATATTGAAAAAGCAGCATAATCGGGAATTTTCGACAATCGAGAAGAACCTCTTTACAGACCTCAAACTTCTACTCACCCAACAAGAGATTTTGATTTTATTAAATAATCAAATTCGTCAAAATTAAGTAATTTACTGTCATATAATGATGATACACAAAATGCAGGGTTTCAGAAAAAACCGAGAAAACCTGAAACTTACAGTTTTTGGAATATGATATTTAATTCCAATAGCCTGAAAGATAAAGAAAAAACAGGTGGTATAACAAATGCAAATTATCATGCTTATCTTACCTTTCTCAGAAATTGAGTATCACTTATGTGTTAAATAAAATAGGTTATGCAACGATTTGGACAGGTAGTTATGTTAACAACATTTTTGCGCATTAATATCAATGCTGGAAACGTAGAGATCTGGAGTAGTGGTCATATTGTTGAACTTAATAGACGGACGATAAGCATTTAACACTACTAAATTTGACCTCAATAATAATATTTGGTAAACTAAACGTGTTATTTTCCCAACATAACCAATATCAAAATTTTATTATTCCGTTTAGTAAATTTATATTACTCCTGATATGCAAAATAAACAAGAATTGGAATAATCAAGTTTTATGAACCAAATCAAGCAGAGGTGTCAGATAAAAAATTTATTACAATAGCTTCTTTATAAATTGTTGCAAGAAATGAGATGATCCTATTTTCTGTTCTCAATTCAAATTGAAGTATTTGCTGACTTAACTGATACTACATATAAGCATCAAGTTTATACTGCCAATAAGGAAGTTCAAAGTCGAATGTTGGTTGTTAGATATTTTTTAAACTGTCTTAATAAGCAACTTCTTAATACACTGTCGGGAAAAATGTTCTATTTAAAGCAAAGAACACTAATAACCAGGCTTAAAACAACATGTTTACATATAAATTATGAAGATCAACTGTGACTAAGTAACACTAAGGCTTTAAAAATCATTGAATAAATAGTTTACTCCTTTCGGAAATAACGTAGTAACTTAATGGTAGCATCAGATGATGGCCGAGATGTCTTAAAATGACTGAAATGGAGAATGTCTATGGCATTTGAACTTTATGGCCTAAATATACAGTAAAATCTATGAAATTCTTATCGTGGGAACGTGAGTGTGCACTGCCGAAAAAGTTTTGAACAAGGGTGAAATAGTTTTGTGATCCTCCGTAAGGTTTCGTTGATGTCAGCGTTCAATCTAAGAGTTTCTAATGCGCTTGATGTTTTTGTGTGTTCACTAACCCGATGAAGTATATAAATTTCATGCAATTGGTTCCCTTTACGAATTTAAATAGAGCAAGAACAAACATTGATGCAGAATAGTATGAATTCATATTATTTCGAGGTTTCTCGTCAGCTGCTTACATACCAAAATTGTGATATATATAAAAATAAATACAGAAGCGATATATATTACATGTTTATTCTATTTTAAATAGTGTTCAGTAATTTGGTGAAGTTTGGAAGGCAGAGTATTCGACAAATTTTGGGGGCGTATTTCAGTTTTCAGGCAAGCGAAAAAGCTGGGGGTTTTTCCGGAAGAAAACAGGTAAAGATACTAGTTACAATTTGAACTTGAAGATAAAATACAGAATATAAAACAACATAACATAGAGAGCATTGCCCTCTGGATAAATAAAAAGTAAAAACGTTACCAAGAACCAACGGAAGAATTCAATAGCACATTCATTTAAAATGAATGTAGTTATAAACACAAAAAGGAGATTGAATTTAGAGAATAAATTTTCATCAATGAAAATTATGTTAGAGGGTAACCATTACAGACAAATCGAACTTTAAGATTAGAGTTATAATGATAAATGTATCAAGATTTATTGGAGATATAGTTATGAAAAATTGTATTCAAATAGCAATTTAAATCGATTACCTACATTCATCAGCTTATTTGAGCCAATCTTTAGGAAGGAATAAATAAAGGAGTCTAAGAGCACTTACAATTATGCAAAAATTAGCGACAGGTTTTATCGAGATAAATTTCAATCTAACAAGTGCTTTCCAGAAATTTTATTGGTTTTTTTCCACAGAATCTATGCGAAATATCATGGTATTGGTCAGTTGAAATTCATAGCATAAAGTCAAGTTTTTTCTGTGATGAAATGTTCATATGATAGAAAGTCATAGAAACACTTACTAAAAATTCATCAAATAAATAGATTTTCACATTTGATGAAAACCGAACCTTGGCTTCTGCGACTTTAGGACCATCGTTTACTACAATTACTAAATTGATGAAGGACAATGATTGTTCTAAGACACGGCATATTTCTTCACCCGAGTCACACACAACAACACGTAGTTCAGCTGTAATGAATTTTATAAGAAAAATGAGTAAAAAACGAATGTTGAGATTAATATTTATTAGTAACGGAATATTTTAATCAACAAAAACATCTCTATTTCAAGTAACAACACTGAAAAATGCGTTGAGTTAAAATCTTATACCGATAAGCAATAAAGAATGAGATACAAGTACGTTCAATATATCTTCATAGTACTAAAACCGAGATATGACATTAATCTTAGAAACAATTGATTTCTGACCCAAGTTAAGAAGAGAAATGTAGGACTTCACCCCATGTTGAGATTGAGCAACCATTCCACCCAATATCGTACTGGAAAAATGGAGACAGATGGTTATTGTTCACACTCTGCCTGAAGTGTTCTCGTACATAGCCTTGAGTGTGTAAATGAATTTCTCATTCACATCGTACTTGAAGTCTTAAAGTACAATCGTGTCAAACAAATCAAAAGTAACGATAATTGAACTGAAATAAATGTGACGTCGCTTATTCGATGGTGAAGACGTCAATGGGTCTACGGCCACAAATAAAACTAGCTTGATCCTCGCAATTCATTCCTTCGTGAGCTTACCACAATCTGCAGAGTATGAGGGAAGCTGGTAAATCGGTAGCAGTCTGAAGTAGAGTTACCGGCTGATATTTGTAGCATAACATACTTAGGTCTCCTTTTAAAAAATAGATATGACGATCGCTTAATCCAAAGGTGATGGAGCACTCAATTCCTCGAAATCTTCAAAACAACTTAATCAGTTCTCTGACCAGAAATTCGTTAACATTCATAAAAAGACATGAGAGTATGTCACCAAGACCAGTCAGGAGCACAGGACAGTTCGACCGACACTTCTGTAGCAACAAACTAACTGTCCTTCGGAGTCCTCCATACAGTGTTCGAAGCACTTTTAGAGACTACTAAATGGTGTGTCATCAATTTGACAGATTATTTCACTGACATCAGATCCCTTGCTGCCAGTGGCTCGGCTGAGTTGAAATAGCTTTTGAAAGTTACCAAATGCATCTGATTTCAACTCATTAGCAAACTCCAACTAACAGGTCTCTTGTTTCTTATCCAAACTTCGTAAATTTCTTAAGGATCAATGTGCAGGCTGGTGTGCCTCAAAGAAATAAAAGGATTTTTCAGAGCTCGTTCTATTCCATTGATTTATAAAAAATACATTCCAAAACGTAGTTTGTTAATGAAATTTTGCAGAAAGCTGACACATCGAAGTCTAAAAGTGATTACCAAGAATGAACGCGATTATCTTCAACGTGCTCTTTGGTTAACAATGAGAAGCAATATAACAAGGATATATTTTAAAATTGCGTACGTATACAACACAAATATCAAAAATCTCATGCTAAAAGTTTTATTAATAAAGTTAAAAGTCAGCTTATTGAGAACATTAGGGATAATTATCCGTGATTTCAAAAATCGTAATATCACTTCTGAGGCTCTTATCCAAGTTGCTCAATTGATAAATAAAAGTTAACAATGCACTTCATGAATAAAAACCGAGTTGTCTGAAAGTCAATCTAAAATACTCCCAACGCAATTTTCATGTTGTAGATCAAGTGGTCCCCGTCTGATAGTCGACATAATCGTTTGTTTAGTAGTCGAATTCAACTGACTCATGTAATTCACAAGTATTATTTACATACAAATTATACAGTTCGGAACGGTATAAATACGAACTAAAAGTTTACAACTCACATATTTTTGATATGTAAGAACTAAGGCGAATACTAAACTTATTCCCTATTTCAATAAAAAGAAAGATATTTAATTTCATACAGGCGTATACATTAAGTAGGTGAATGAAATAATGGGATTGTGTTCTTGATATTGTGATATTTTAAACACAATTCATTAACGATAATAATTTTCGTATTTTGAAATAGTTTTTGATACTCCCAAAAGGATGTTAGTATATCCGATTAGTAGAGAGAATAAAAGTAATATAAAATAGCTGACAGATGTCTTACTTAGCTTAAGGATATGTTGCATGGCTTCGTCACCTAAAGTTGCATAGATAGGAACTATTGGGAACCCATAAGCTGCACAGGCGTGCTGCGCAATAAACCACTGTAAAAATAAAATAAAATTCAAACTAAATACTAAATAAAGTATATTTTATTGGAAGGTTTTTGATAAATAGTCATTCCAAAAAACTTATGATTGGTGCCGGAATAAATGACTGAAGTTGAAACAATTTAACAGGTGAAATAAATATAATATTTACTATTAATACGTTGTGAAAAGGCTCATAGTTATAACAGATTTATATTTGTCTTAATATGAATTACTAAAATAACTAGAAAAATATTGTCTTTAAACTATTGGCTTACTTAGAATCCAGTGTTACCAATAAGGTCATATTTGTAGATAATAACTTCAACTGCTCATAGACATATAACTCGAAATACTATAAAAATTCTGCATGAAATTAAAACAAACATAATACTTCCATTTACTTTGTGAATTGAGAAGAGTAATGAAACCTTTCAAGGTACCTACCTAAGATGTAACCATGAAGAAAATGTCTTTGATATGTTGTGAATAGAGAATTAGTTATTAAAAGTTTTCTGAAATGTGTGGTGTGTTACCAGTGTCGATCAATCCGTTACTCAACAGGTGCGTGTGAAAATATGCCACACCATGTCGCAATTTATAAATATCAGTGGTTAAATTAAGCGTTTGATCTACTATAGGAGACCCAGCAAACACTCTACTTCAAAACCTTATTTAAATACTCGTCATTGAATTATGTAGACATATATACACGTAAGTGTAAAAAGTGAAAAATATGAACTTGCCTCGGGTGAATTCCGACCAAAAATACCAACACAATTATCACTCCATGGAATATGAGAAGCAACTTTCACTAAAGCTGATCCAAATGCCTGTATTTTGTCATCTACCTACGCCGACAAAATATTAGCTTTGTTAGTATATCTTACTTCTATATACGTTAACCAAGTATATTTTTCATTTGGACTAGAACGTCGTCCCAAACAGGGTTGAAAGCCTATTAAAAATAATGGAGGAATGAAATCAGACGTATATAAAAACTGGAGTGCTAAGCGCAGCAAATAAAAAAAGATATTGACGACGAAATCTAACTACATATCACAAGGGGAAACCTCATTCATTGTTCAGCAAAAATGATCAACAAGTGTCCAGCAGCATCAAGGTATATGAAACAATATTACATTTCCGATAAATCATTTTGTATCCCATTCCAAGTGAAAAATTATCGAATTGAAAAATCATAGCAAGCTTTCACAATGGGCCTACTGCTTCTACCAATTACTTGCTAGCAGTTAAATACTACATTTAATTTATTAGGCTAAATATTTGGGTAACAAAATGTTTTCTAATGCAGATTATGTGAAGTTGTTATTGAAACCAGAAAAATATCTGTTTGACTATGTTTCACATACTCTAGATTGGGAGTATGGCGAAAAGATACATTTGTGAGATGGGAATTCAACATACGTGCACATCAACTCAGGCAACTGAATTCGAAAAGGGGGGCTTATTTTTCAGGAACGTAAAGTGATAGACTGGGTGAATTCTCACAAATCACATGCCTGTGTTCAAATGCCACCTTTATGCCGAAAGCTAGGTGATAGATAAGGCATGCTATTGGGTGGAGCTTATAATGTACATTTTCAAGGTCTAAGCTTATATGTTATTGTCTAGGTCTAGGAGATATATATACCACAGATTTGTATACACTTGTTTTTGTTTCCCAATTACAGCTTTTCAGTCGTTTCTAGTCTTCTCAATTAGCTGTTCAGGAAACGTTTATGAACAGTTTGTTTTCGTATAAGACAACTGAAGAAAATAAAAGAGATCATAAATATTGATTGCATATAAAACAAACAAAATATTTTGAAAATATTGAGGTTTTGGTAGATTGTTAATAAACCTCGTTTCCAATAAAAAAACTTACGTGAAGTCTCCAAACCTTTTTCAAACAAATTCTTCATAGTGCGTACGTCAGAAAACTTTAGAGTAAGCCGAGTTGTGAAAGGGGATTTACGAGCCCCTGTCTAGAAAATAATAGATCGAACACTCATTAATTCTTTTTGATGTAAGGAAATTTCCACCATTTATTTTTTGATTCATTAAATCAAAAGCAGTTATGTCATCAATGTGCATTGATCATGTAAAAGCGAAAGTGGTAGCTTTATTTACAATCAACCGAGAGTTTCGGCTTAAAAGTTTCCAATAGGGACACTCGAAAACTCAATAAATCTTATATCCTATTGGAAATTTGACTCAATATAACCCAGAATCGCAATTATAGACGATATAATGAGACGATTCAGACAAGGATGTGAAAATAAAACTTTTAAAACGTCGAATAACAAGTATTTCAACCAATACAGCTCGATAGGCTAGTTACAGTAGGAAAGCCCAACCAGTATATCAATGGTATAGCCATGAATCAAATAAAATTTGCACATGAACTTTATTTGTTTGCCCTCCATCACTGGAATAGGACTCATACCATCCTACTAGTTTAAAAATTGTGTTGAATGAATGAATCTACCTCCCTAGAAAACAAGTTAACGGATAGATAATTTTCATAGCCCTATACTTAGAAAATGATATTTTATCGCATTTTAATAAGCATAACAAATGTTTGACGAAAATAATCTGTCCGGAAATTGCTAGTTCAATTGTTTAAATTTTTATATTTCTATTTATGTATCAAAACGAATAATCCCATTTATGAATGTCTATTGTTTCTTAAAAAACAAAAAAGATCCCACTTTTAATGAAAGAAATGGAAATGCATAAAACCGTCTGCCAATAAATTTATATTATTAGACTGTTCCTCAGTGTAAAACCGTAACTACCATGTCGTCGTCACCAATTCAAATTTGCCAAATAAATTTCCAGAGGGACCTGTTCAGAAGTTCGCAGAAATTCTGCACTGAATCCTAAACAGTTATTACGCAGGGAATCATAAACAACGCAGGACTTGGAAAAGATACCTATAAGACCCTGTCTCCATTCTTCATATTGATACAGAAAGAAACCAAGCAGAAGAAATTAGATACAATAATGTCAATGGTCGAGTCCCTAATCAATGGCTACGATTATCTCACGGTGATTACCTAGAAAGTTTGTTCCTTTCAACACCTATTAATCCAATGGCAAATGACTCTATGAATTATTGTTATCCTCGTTTTTACCCTGCCTATTTCTATTCTACTATTATCCCAGGTAGAAAAGTGATTCAGGGTCAGTGATGGTCGGGTATGCTTAAGATGAATTCTAACAACTTAGATTATTGAGGGTTGACTAACCAACAGAATTTTCCAATATAACACCCTACCCTCAACCATGATTGATATTATTCACAATACATAGAGAATGCTGTGATTAAGTCCCAAAACTCCAAGTGAACACTTAGGCCTCAAATGTCACAATCTACTGATATGAAGTAAAACATATTGAGCCGTTGTACACTATACTCGCTCTTCGATATGTAGACAGATATTATGATTACAACATTGACGGCACAGACTAACAAAGGTTGAGTAAATTTTTAAATCCGTGATAACATTTCGTTGGCCACTATTGACTTTCAACCGTGCTACCCAAGGTTGCGCCATTAACTGTAAATATCTTGTGAACCACAAATATGAAGTATGTCGCTTGCAACATTCCACCTTTTGATTGAAGTAAGCGTGGAGTTCTTGAACTAAAAAAGTCATAAATTTCTGTCTTATTCCAAAGCTATCCTTAGTAATCAAAATTGTCGTTGTAAAAAATACGAAGATAAGTTTCTACATATTGTTGCTTGTGACTTACAGATACTTCTTGCAATTTCGAATGATAATGGAGTGAATCCGGTTGTCATAATACATTTGAATTACAACTGTATAACAGTACTGAAGTGAGGAAACTAACAATGTTGTGGTAGAGTTTAACTGGTGGCTACTGAACAATGTTGCGGCACTGATCACAGGTTAACTGTTCATAAGTCTATTTAAACAAAGAAAATGACAACTAATAGTTTGGTTTTGACCAGTAAATATCTAGACCAGCAGTGATTTCTGACTTTCAGTAAGTGACCTATAACTCAGAGTGTAATCTATTCATTTTAAATTTGTTCATTTGGAGACATGAATGATACACTACTTTTGCTCCTACGAATGAAATGCAAGGTATTTGACTACCTCTTAAAATCAATAGAAGGATCCGTTGTTTTTCTCAACAACATTAAACACCAATGTGACCAATAATATGACCAACGAAGCAGGCAATGAGTGCCACTAGCACTCAGACGGAGTGACTCAAGGTAATCAAATAAACATATACTTGATGAATTACAGCGAGATCACATCAGACATCAATCATGTCCAGACACAAAAAATATTGCTCAAAAAATCATATTTGATTTATTAACATTCCATGTTGTGGACAAAGACCAACCTTGGAATCAATTATGATTGACTGTCTGTTTACATGTGGGGATACATATGGTTCTGAAACGTTTGGTTTGTGTACTTTGTAGTAGTGATGAGGATAATCTGATTGAACACCTAAAATTCAATAACAAATTGTAATAAGAGTTTAAATAACGGTTTCGTGATATTGCATCTAAAGAAGTTATGGAACAATATACTCATAACTAATCATTTGCTCTCTCCACAAATTTGAGAATAGTTTATCACGGAATACAAGATTGTTGAAATAGGATAGAATTTTTTATTTCCTACATATATGAGTGCTCAGTGAAAATACGCTTGGTTAGTAAAAATTCATCATAGATTTAAAAGAAACACTGTTGGAGGAAGTAATTCAGTAAAGATCATCTAAGAATATTGCCATAATAAAATCAATTTGAATTAAATTAGAACTCCTCTGCGATCGTTTACTGAAAATAACCCAAAAAGATGAAAAGTAGAAGACATAATTTATCGCATAAATAAAACGGCATTTTTCTGCAGACTATTACCGCTCAATTAGTCAAACTTTGGCCCAACAAACGTGTAGTATTAAGACTGAGGCGGTGTACAGTTTGTTTGAACCACCACTTATAGTCTTTAGAGCTTCCTCGCGATGGCGAATTAGACACTTTACCAAACATATAGTATTTAAAAAGGCAATTATTATATTACTATTGTTGCTAAGCTACATGTCCAATCATAAGCGCATCTTAGTGTGGTTCATAAAACTTACTACGATATATTTTCGAACTTCCATAAGTATCACACTCAAAGAGTTGCGAATTCATAGCTACGAATATGTTCTGTTTACAGACTGTGATCAAATATCAGTAGACAAACTTTATTGAAAAGCGTCGATACAGTTGAACTGTAGCTACAGTATTCTGTTGTCAGATTGTATTTTTCAAATCACTCTCACATATTTAGCTTTAAACAAGAATTGTTTGCAATTTTATTCTTATGTTAGGACTCATTACTGTGTACATAGGAAATTGTGAAAGAAGGTTATTCATTTACTATTAGTTGCTTAAAATGTGATAAATTGGAGGCCAAGTAATCTGTAAATGCAGTAATTTTCCAGGCACTTCATCAGATATTGATGTTGAAAAATCATAATAAACTACAACCGCTGTAAGAACATAAGGATTTTGACAAACTATATAAACCCTCATTAGCGACAGCCATACTATAAACATTTGAAAAATAAATTCACATCGAAAATGACCCAACTACTCCTAGATAAGAGTTGTGGTCCAATGGAATTATTTCTCAACCGTCGACTTGCAGGTTCGAACTCACGTCTACGTACTTGAGTCTCACCGATCGGATGGTATCACTCGTTGAAACACGTAAAGTATGTCTCAAAGTTTGATGGCAAATGATTTATGGTAAGTCAGTTTTGTTGAGTAAGCAGTTCGTATGTAGAAATAGCTCTCATTGATCGTTATAGTTAAATATAAAGGAATGCCTTAAATGTTATTTATCAGGGAAGCAAATTGTCCTCATACAAAATTTCGGTGGACAGAACCCTATCAGCCAACATTATGAATACGCCCAGGGCCTTGTTATTGTGTTCATCGAAAAATAAAATGAGTTTTGAGCAAACATAAGACGTTTAATTTCTCCAATATCACTAAGTTTTGTTAAATATGGGAAAATATATGCAACTTTTTACCCCCAGTCCTTAAACGATTTTCACTTGTTAACTAAATAAAAGCATTAGCCAAAAGTATACTATTCTAACTATAGTTAGTATAACCATAATTTGGCTTCTCTTAAAACTATGAATCCAAAAAAGGTATTCAACATTTTGCTAATTAACAATGAACTTTGTTGATTACCTTCATTCATAGAACGTCAGAAATGAGTGATGTCTCAATTAAAGTAGGGAGCTTTACCGTCACATTTCAAGCGAAAAATGTCTGTAAACAATACATAGGATTAGACGCTCAAAATGTACCGAAAATCATCAACTTCAATAATATTCTTTTTTCGTTGTGTTTTGATTTTAGGCGATTCAGATAACTCATCCGGGGTTATTATCAAAGAATTTAACCATAAATGATTTTGGTTACCGATGATAGTGTGGAAATGGTGAGTCAAATCGCTTGTCGTTTTACAGCGCAACCTGTTTAAAAACAATTGATTCCCGAAAACCTCTTAAAACTCCTAAGAGACCACATAATCCAAAGTTCAATGATACTTTTAGATCCCTATATGGAGACATTTTTATCTTAAGCACGCGGATGATATTACTTTACTGTATGATGAAAGCCAGGTCATTGAAATCCTTCTCATTTATTTAATAATTAGTGTCCGTGGGAATAATATGCTTTTCACACATACAAAACACAAAATGCTCCTGCAATAATGCCAGGATGCTGTTTTTACGCCGACTCTGTAGTAAACCAACCGAAGTATTTGGTAAATCTGTTACATGGATGGTTGCGTGACTCAATCTAGAAGCCAATATGGATCCTGGTGTAGCTTTTGTCGAAATAATTTGCTCGTATTAAAGTGAGTTTTCCTTGGCCTTATTAATTGCTGAAGTGTATTGCTTACCATATATTATTCTTCTCCACCTATTTATCGATTGTACTACCCTTCTCTTATTTATTCCTTAACAAATTATTATTTCATATGTGTGGTAAATATTTTTTGGCATCAATAAAACAGTCGTGTCTTTAAATATAGGTAAATTACAGCTAACTAACTCCTAAGTGAACTTAGTCAAAGCTACGCATAAGACCTGAGGAGGTATACCACAGGAAGAAGCCAATCAATTGATATCAGAATATATTTTAGCATGATGTTTCGACTAGTCACGTTAATTTGGAGGGCACAGTGAATTACAAAATAAAAACAACGTTTAATCATCCAATCTGTTGACCTTCTTCACATGATGGTTGTCACACACGGCTAATTAAACTTCCAATTCAAACCTGAGAGAGATAAGAATACTGAGCTTGTTGAATAGGTATATCATTTTCACAATTTTGTCTATGAATCGTCCCAAAGGTAATCATATTGTCAGCTGCAGGGATCTTACCGAGATAAACAGAAGTCTATCAGATGTGAACAAATATAAGATGAAACATACATTAAATAAGTTATAAACAAGCTAGTTGACGGCATGAGTTTTCATATTTCAAACCTGTGCTCTTTGGAACGCCACGCTCCCCGGCTAAAGTAATCACATAACTCTCGGTGCATTGCTTCAAGAAAGTTACACAATTACGTGCATATACATAGACTACACTTCAACTGGAATAACGAATAAGTGAATAGGACTACATGATATTATCGCCACAGGTTTTCTCGTCCCTACGCTAATGCCACTTTTCCTCTTTTTACTTTATTATTTACATTTTCATCAATATTTTAATTCAGACTATCCTATATCTTCAACTCTTTCCCTCATTTCCTTCACCCATACTGTGAGCAGAGCGTGGAGGACAAAATGACTTGATAACATAGTTGTAGCTGCTTCCAGATATTTTCTTATCCTGAAACATTCATCTTTTAAAAATACACCAACAACCAACTACTAATAGAATTCAACTGAAAGAATAGAAGTAAATGCAGACACCTTACAGTAACACAATCGTTCAGTTGTTTGAGCTAAAAGATATTGCACATCATTTCAGGGCCCTGTATCTCGATAATGTTACGTATAAAATAACCTTATTCGCAAAAGTTTCGCACTAAACACTCAAAACGGAGACTTTTGGGAATAGATTTAATTTTTTCTGTTACAGCTCTAGTTCAAATAAGTAAACTCTGATAACTTACAAGTAAAATTCGGCATAAACTCCTCTAAGTATAGAGTATGTGGAAAGGATTTATGACATATTCCTATTTCACACTGACTAACAAAAATGGCAAGTATGGATATTTGATGTATAGCGTATCTGTAAAAAGCTGAAGTAAGCCAATTGCCCCTTCATGATGGCGTTTGTATGTGGAGGTACAGATTCAGATCTTTAGTGACAACAAACGATGGATCTAGACACTCGATTGCATTACTCTTGGTGAATCCAACAGTTACTTGAGGGCTGGTAGACTTTGAATGTAGGCAAGTGCACTTACTTTGATGTAGAGGGGTTGTTGGAACCAGCGGCTATCATGTCCCCAGGCAAAGGACTGGTTAGTTGTAATCTAAAAATCGCACGACTATAGCATATAGCAGGTAGATGAGAAGAGTTCGATGCAAACTAGCTATTTAAACCAGATAGATGAATGCATGAAACAACAAACAAACAAATATTATATAAGATGAATTAGAGTGCGGTAGGTTACTTATAAGAAATATTGATATCACACAACAGTGCATCTAAGAATTAATGACAAAGAAACACCTCTCCCCGATGATGTATGCAGTTGACCGTTACTCCAGGAAAAAGACAGTTATTCATAATCGGAAATATGGCTGTAAACTCAAGGGCTGTGCATCACCGAATGCTAACACTTATCCCCATAAACAGTCAGGTCTCGTTATTTCGAAAGTGTTGGCAATTTCAACAACTGTTTATAAAAACCAGATAACTTCTACACAAAGTAACTCACATAATTTACACTGCATTTTCCAGGACAACTGTATTGCACTTAAGTTATGGTATTTAAAACCGTGTGAAAGTGCAATCCTAAATTATGACCTAACAGGAAAATAAATTAAAACAAAACACTTTAAACCACAAAGTACGCTGAGCTAACTAATCGTTCAAAGTTAAAGGATTCCATTCCAAAATCACCACTTCTTGGAGCTCGGAACGAGTGGTTTTCTTCTACATACTCAGGAATATAAAGGAACATCTTACATTGATGGGCGACTATAATTTATGGAAAGCTCTCATCATGTGGTGTTGGATGAAGTAGCTCATAAATAACAGTCTCAAACGGAAAAATTTATAATAAAGGTTCCTTCGATAGACCACCGAACATTTTTTCATGTCGCTGAACTCGTTCTCAAATATTGCCATAGATGAGCTAGCACAGAGAAATCAATTGGTCTACACTAGCTCACCACAACGATATTGGCTGGGAGTTACTCTGTTCCTCTATATTCCTGAGTGTGCAAAATATAACCTATCGTCATGTCAAAATGTGCTGATATCACAACTGATTTTCTTCTTCTGGTCGTCTGTCTGTAGAATTATGGCATACGTTGGTATTAGTAGATTTATCTTTGTTATTATAATGATAGACATGATCTTAAAATCATGGATTTGCTATTATGTGACCACGTTACGTGGATGTCACATCACGGTGTATATTAAGTCGTCCTACAATGACAATCATCGATATGATATTTGGTACTTTTGAAGAATATATTTGGCTGGGGGTAAAATAATGTATTTTATTTGGAAAGGCGTGAGTTACACAGAATCATTACATCTGCAAGGCTACGCCATGATATTTCGACCAATCTTATTGCGTTCATCATTTTTTAACCTCTCTAAGTGTTACATGTTGAGTGTGAATATTTAGTGTGATCGTATGTTCAGCTTTGAGGATCGAGTGGTTGGGAATAAGCAACATTACATCGCTTTCCTACCAGGATCAACATTACGTTGTTTCGATCACAAGTCGATTGGAATTGTTGCGCGCCAGGGATTCACAAAAGAATAATGAGGATGTTCCAGGTGTTAATAAATTGAAACAAAAATCAAAAAGAAAGCGGCATCATCTGATCGGAAAGTACGTGTGATAACTCCAAAATGTTTGAATTAATCCTGAACACGCACAAAATGGAAATCTACGCGAATATTATTTAAGGGTTAGACAATGTGTGATTTCAGTGATGAGGAAAGATTTTGTATATGAATACTTTACTAAGTCATAATAAGATGAATAGCTGTAACCGCTGGTTAATAGCTTAGCTTTAGGGTGGTATAGGTATTTCGTGCATAGAAAAAGAAAAAGGTCAGCATTGTATAAATTTTGATCGCGGTATTACCTTCGCTTTAATTTAGAAAATCAGTTAACTTTGATGTTGGCAGGCTGTCCATATGAGTTGATTTTCAGCTTCATTTTTCCCATTAGCAGGTTAGCTAAAGAAACAACGGTATGACCGCAGAAATGAAGAATTCTAACTAATATTCCAGTTTTTCTACTAAGTTTAATACAGTTTATTTAGATACAGGGAGATATTATCGACATTGTTATTGTATTTAGTAATACAACTGGTGTGAACTGTTATCAACCGTACACTTTATACGTAAAAATAATGTTAATTATGTGAATTTCGGACATAAAACTGGTGGTAGTTCGTTGAACATTAGTGCATTCGCAAGAGATGTGCTCTAGACTCCATGTTCTAATGTGCAACATATCGACATTTGAAACTCATGCATGTCGGTTAAAGGTACATATACGTCAGTTGCAAGTATCAAGTTTGAGATTGTACAAAAATCGATTTGTATGAATTTGAGTGATTATGAGGTGTTGAAATCAACTGAGCTTATGTGCCACAAATGTAGGTGATATGTTGTTGTACGATGCTTTCGACTATATCAATTTTTACAAGGTGATAAACAGGGAGTGCTGCTTATGTGATTATCAGCAACAGCACACGTGATAACCGAGGAGACTACAACTCCCAACTCATGTCTATGTTGGGATTGAACCTCTCTTCGTGATTGGGTATATTCGACAGCGATATTTTAAGTTTTCAGGAGATTTGCTTGACTGCATACACCGATGATCTGCATGAATGGTTATATCCCCAAACCTCCATTATACTGACAATGTTCTATGATATTTACTAAATGAGCAACTGATAGAGAAACACACTGAAATCATCTATTATACATAAACATAAGCACGAGAAAACAACACTAGTCGATGATAATTACGAGTCAGTTCATTGACCAGGCTGGTAAATAGTTTCATCAATTTCATCAATTATGTTACGTGTAGCAATACGGATTATGATATTTTTAGTGTTAAATGTTAAATGCGGTTGTAGCCACTTGATTGGAACTTAACAGGTCGAACTGTCATGTCATAAACGTCCTGTCTCATACGACACAAACCACCCACACCCTCTATGGTAATCTTCTGCAGACTATCTCCCAGGGGCGTGACCTTGGACTTTTAACCACGAAGAGCTTAGACAACAGTTCAAACTATATAGGCGACGCAGCAACATCAAACGCAACTCTCCACTTCATACGTAGATAACATGGCACAATCACCTCATATTTGATCCTAACACTTTGAGACGCATGCATGACCCCACCTTGAAGTCCAAAATGTCGTTGCACCAACCGTCTACAAAAGGGATAGTAATCATCCAGACTAAGTACATAGATAACCAAGTGGACGATAAGTCTGAAACATAATTTCGACAACGACATACTCCAACACTTGAAATTATTCTCACTGATCTACAACAGAACAAAAGATGATATGACATATAACGTAATAAGTACGTCGATTCACCACAACACAACCACACCACCAGAAAATAACTACTACGCGCTTCAAGCTAACCCCCAAATAGTCGCATATAAAAGAGAAAAAATTAGATACACTCCCACTTTTTCTGATCAAGAGTTGTCCTCAATTTGAATGCTCTTCCAGTCGGAGACCACCGTCCCCTTAGTAAATTTCTCTGAAAGGAGACTCGATAAACACCTAATCAACCATGGTTTGTCATCTTCCGTTTGGTCCAGCTCTGCATGGTGCATATCCCATAATTTACCTACTCTTATCATCACTGAATGTCAGTAACTACTTCCCAATTCACTTATTATCGTCCACGTTTCTCCTCTTAACCTTACAACTCGATCTTCTCCCACTGTCTTCATAACCGATCGATTTATTAATTATTTTATATTTTGAAGCAACAGCGTTATTTAGGCACTCGAATTATCGCATCAGTCACTGATTTTTCGATAAGCTATATCTGGTACTGAAACTTGTCTTCTGGTACCTTAATGCACATGTCCCTTACATTTATTAAATTGCCTGTATGCGGTGTTATTACCATTTCGAAGAAGAAAGTGTGATTCTTGATGATCGTAGGTTGCTTGTATATTTTCGGGCTTTTGGTGCAACAGAATGCTCTGTAGCACAAAAAGTCGTTCACAGTAAATATCCCAATGAGCAACCACGCTAACTTGAGGATGAAGCTCCCAGTCTACATGCTGTAGATTATCCTGTAAAACTGAAGCATCCATCCGTTCGGAATTCCAGCATTTGTTTCTGGTCTGAGATTTTTATTGTGATTGCTACAGCAAAGCGAAGAGAAGCAGTATCTTTTTGTCTGCTACCAGTTTGAAAGCTTGAGGAACGTCAGTGGTATGCCTAGTGTCACATGAATGCCGAGCTATTGCGTTGTTGAGAGGCCTTGTTGCTCGCAGTCTTAATTTCTTCGGAACATGCTTGTAATGTGAACATATAATCTTTTCACGGTTTTTGCAATGTTTGTACTTCGGCACGTACATGAAGATTTGTAGATGCAGTCGGAGCTACTGAGAAAAGATGACCTGTCAATTGTGAGCCAGCGGATTGTTCTCCATAGCGTCGTCAGTTTTACTGGCGTATTAGTCTCTTACAATGTGAAATGTTTCCTGTGATCTGTTGTCCCAGAGACTTCATCTCCCTTAAAGCACAAGTGTAAGAAGTGGGTTTTCTTTTCAACTGTATCGTATTTAGCCCGAGGGTCGGGTTTAGCATATTTCTCGATAAACTTCTTCGGATATACACTTTCGCGTAGGTAATTTGTAGTGAGGGCAATTTCATCTTCTAGGCATACCTTTTAGCAAATTTTGCGTGCGCGGTTAAAAAGGGTTAGTATAATACCCTTTTGTAACTCATTGGACAGAAACTGTTGTAATTGATATAAACTCCATTCCATGTATTCTGCTGTGAATGTGTCTTTGTAATGTTACGTTTGATGTTCGTCCGAGTCCGAAATCTTAGAAGTGGAATATACCTCATACTTCATGTTTCATGTTAGAATCTTTAACCTCGTGTGTTTTGTTAAGCAGATTGTGTATGTTCATGGAGTGCTTAGGATTGCGACAGACGAGAAACGTGTCATCAATATATTTACAGTTGAGTGTAGTCCCAACAATTACGTGCTTGAGCTCCCTCTGATCCAGGTTTCCCATAAATATATGGGCCAAAGTTAGACCCTAACAGTCACCCATGGTTACTGCATAGATTTGGTGGAAAAACATATTGTTAAATTAAAATTGTATGTTTTTGGTACACAGGAACAGCAGCTGTTGAAATACGTGGATTGGTAAAGACAGACGTTCGTAATATTCATATATGACATCTGCCGTTTCTTTCGAAGGGATGCTTGTGAGGAGTGATGAGACATCAAACAAGACCATGAATTTATCGGAAGCACTAAGGCTGCCATGCTTTTGTACAAATTCAAAACTGTCCTTCAAACTATAGGGTGCCAGTTTTTACGGCCTGGTTCAAAGCACCTTGTTAGCCAGTGCTCTAGTTTAAGGACATCACCTTACCAATGCACTCATCTCTGTTTAGGATGACTCCACCTTAACCCATATATGAATATAAGAAGTACCGATATTGATTCGTATTTCATAATAGTTTCTCAATGCCTGCGATTGACCTTTATTTAACAGCTTAGAATGCGGGACTGATGTCGTAACATACTGATTTGTATTATCCACATATTTCAATTTCAAAATACTTTGTTTTTCGACTCTCATGGGTTTTGGGTCTGACGACTGTTGATATAAATACTCAGACTGTGTTTTGATGTTAATTGTTCCCCATTATATCTTAACCCAATGGTAAATTTAACATAAATTTGGTTGTAAGCAGCTGATGAGAAACCATGAAATATGATGAATTCATATTATCCTGCATCCATGTTTGTTCTGGAATTATTTAACTGTACAAGTATCCGATTCGACATCAGTGGTGGGCAGACAACAAGGTCCTTGCCTTCAACAGTTCAAATGATAAATTAGTCCATCCGTGACATGTTGCAGACTGCCAATACAACCTAAGTAACTCCCTTCTAGAGGTATACCAAGTTCAAAAAGATCCAGAAGAGTTGATACTTTGCGACCTGATGTCTTGCGCTGAGAGGAAAATGCCTTCCAAGCAAACATTGCACTGGTAAAATTGAAATTCATTTATGGCCAGTTCAACGAAAGAACTTTCCACATAATCTTCAACGGTTTTGTTTAACCCCAGTTGAAGTATGGAAACACAGAGTTTCCATCCTCACTCCAGAAGGAATAGGACACACTGCAACTTAATTGAACGCGAGCTAGGAAATCCGTTCAGGGACTCAAATTCAGGTTTGATGAAGAACTCTTTCAGTTACTGAACTTTTACTCATTCGAATATAGACGTCTTAGAGGTGACCTTCTAATGGCTTATAGTATCCTTAACACTTCTGGACATCCCCTTAAACACCTACTTAAGCTTAGTCCCAATACAAACCTAAGGGGTAACATTCAGAAATTAGAGATACAACATAGCAGAACGGACTGTAGACATAACCTCTACTCCTCAAGAGTTGCCAAATGCTGGAATTCGCTGCCGTATGAACTAGTCGAAGCGATTTCCTAGGAGTCCTTTGAGAAGAATCTTGACATATTCTTAAGGGCTAAGGACAGCATCTCGCTATAATTTACTTTTTTTCTATTTTATCGTTAAATATAGCTATATTCCGACCTGGAGGCACCGGTGATCCACTGCTACCTGGTACTGAAGCCCGTTAAACGAAAGCTTCTTCTGTTTAGTCCAGAACCATTTGAACGTAGTGTGGTCATTGAACATTGGAATTCGGTGACGCATATGATATAAATATAGTCAGGGTAGTAGTAAGGAGGTACGAGTTTTGAGGGACAATTATTCTTTAGTTCAGTCGGTGGTGTTTAATTGTTTGTTGCTGGTTAAATTTTTGTCAAGCTAAAGCACTATCATCATCTCATGAAGGAATTTATCCCAATGTGGATTCCAAGCGTTTAATAGAGTTGCAAAAACAAATACCGCCGTATCATAATTGTATTAATACTCTTTTGTGTGATCAGTGTATTGATATACAAATCCTTTTATCACTACAATGTGCACTGACAAAAAGTTGTAGTCAGGTCATCCGAATCATCGTTTGCACTGGGTTTTAGAATTGTGATGCGCCTCGAAATGTATGAATACGTAATTTACTGTTGAGTAAATTAATTCATTAGTAGGTTCATCTTCCAAGTATCCTTTCACACACACTTTTCTGGGAACTGTCGGTTATGTGCGTTTGTGTTTTTTACTGCTCATTTCGCACCGTGTACTGCAGTTGAAGCAGTATCAAAGCACCACATTACTTCTTAAAGTTGGTTTTTCCTGTTAAGATACTATTTGGTCTGTAAAATTTAATTGATATAAAACCACCGTGTGGTCACTATATATTTATTTGACTATTTGTTACTAAGGTTGCATTTCCGTCTATCACTACGCACTTCTCAACTATACGTATCTCCTAAAAGTGTCCATTAACCAACTGTCATATTACCACCAACCTAGTAAGATTATTCACGTCGTACATAGTGTTGGACACTCACGGTTTAGTAGATGGGTAAGTAAGTTCCTTCAATATATGGAGAATTCCTCACATGCTGAGTTATTCAATGAAACAAAAACCAAAAAGCCTGTATATTAACCACTACAAGTATTATGTTGGTCTCCTTTTGTAAAAATGATTAAGGTGAAGTGTTACTGCCAACCCCCTCACTTTTCAGAACAACCTGGGAAGTTAACTGGCACTAACCACCATTCGGGTCTTACACCAGTGATGTACACATTACTGCGGGGTTTGTGGCAATATATATCACAAAGGGATGAGTTTTCTGTTCTCATACTAGGTTTGGATGGCGCTGGAAAAACAGTAGTTTTGGTTACATATGATTGACAAGTCTAGACTTATTTAGAACAAGCTAAAATAAATTTTGTTCCAAATTATAAATCTATCCCAATTCAGAAAATCACTACTACTGTTGGTCTAAATAGTAAGTTTCCCGTCTTTCCATAATTTTAAGTTGGATACATTGAGGTTGATGGGATCCGGCTTAAATTTTGGGATCTCGGCGGTCAAGAAGAGCTTCAATCGTTGTGGGATAAGGTTAGCTTAATATGCATTTCTCAGTTTTATTTAGTACTATGCTGAATCAAACGGTGTTATTTATGTCGTTGATTCTGCAGATAGAGATCGTTTTGATGAGTCTAAAGATGCATTTGGTAAGTGCCTCTTGTAATTATTAGTGTTAGATAAGATGATTAGAAACCCTGTACTGGAAGGTGTGCCGTTACTGGTTCTAGCTAACAAGCAAGATATGCAGGTAAGAAAATTAGCTGTGTTATTCGACTTTTGTGACGGATTCAACTCATGTACCGATTTGTACCTCCACAACTTTGACAAAACTGATCCTTTGTAACGCATCTGTGTCAATGTATGCATGCACGGATCTCTCCACCATACACCATAGTTGGAGTTGTTAGATATTACAGAACCTGTCGTAAAAAATTTAATATAAATATACTTATTTAGTTACCCTAATATCATGTCGACAAGACTGATGCTTAGGACAATAACGCGGTGAGGGCCTGGGACGATTGTATATTAGCCCTTCACATCACTTATCAGTAGATTAAGAGGAGAAACTAACAAAACGATAGATGACCACCCAATTGTCTTTGACGTTTTCTTGTTCAGTTCGTTTAGATATAATATAAATATAGGGAAATACAAAAGATTAGTCTAATTTCCTCCTACATTGATACAATAATAGATGGATAGATGACCGGTTTTGGAAATCGTCATATACTAAGTATTCGGAATAAATTTAGGTTTCCTTAAAAGGTGAAGAATTTCTAAATGGCGAATTCACATATTAGAAAACTAATGAAGGGTCGTAACATTTTGAATGGTCAGGAAGTCTTTCAAAGTAACCACCATGGCTCCTGAATCTCACGTGCGAACATCAAGGTATCTGTAGACAAATCCTTAAGTGTCTACCTCTCGTATGAATGGTTGCAGAAACGTTGGTTTGAGGACTGCTTCATAGTGAAGTCTCATTTCTGGTGCTGAAGCTCTTGTCAGGGCTTCCTGTCACTTTTCAGTTGTTTAATGAACTCAAGTATCTAGCGGTAAGCTGGATTTCCGTTGTGCTTTTTTACAAGTCATCTCGTAGTCTTCTTCAAAGCTCTCTATTTTACGTCTCATCGTTCTCACAATGGTTAGTGAGTACTGAGAAGCTGTCATGGTGGAGTAGTCGAAGTCATCGACGAATCGCACTTGTACGTGTTACCACTCCTTGACAATATTTTGGTGACTACCGTTGTATTTTAGTTAAACCTGCCACTTTACGACTCGCATATTTGTTCTTAAGGACGTAGGGAGTTGTACCCGAAAATAGGAACAATGAAGTCCGGAATTGTATCAAATGTATCTAAACGAACCTACAATTCAGTTGACAAGCACCTACACTATGTTCTTGTGCCTAATTCACATTTTTTAGAGTGCATCCCATTTGTCTGAAATAAACAAAGTTTTCTACGACAGTCTACGTCTTGTTGGGCAACGTCAATGCACATTTCATGGTGTCAGTGCACTTAACGGGTAAATTAATCAGTAACATGTCGATTTCTAGATATAACCATTTCAGTCAACCTATATTGTTATTTCTCAGGTTGGTTAACGTTTTATAACATATGGGTATGTTGTGCACTGTCAGGAGCAAACGTCTTGAGCGCATTAGAACTTTAAATTTGTTTTGTTCGATAAAACGCACAACACTTATATAGTGTTTCAATAACAAACATGAAAAGATCCTGCCATAACACTACTAGTAACTATCAAGTGTTGAATATATTATGACGATGATAAGGCATATCGAAATACCGATGCCAAGGTTGGACTTAATGGTTTCTAGCAAATTGAGCACTGGATTGGAAGTTAATAGTGGAAATTTTTCGTTTACTCGGAAAGTGGCTAACATTAAGTTGCGAAACGTCAGTAGTACAATTCCCTATTCATTGGGATATCACAAGAAATATATTCATTAGTGTATCGAAATACGTTATTCACCTCCAATTGCTAATTAGATGGATGTAGAAGCATTGCTTTCAAAGTCAGTGACCATTTATCCCCCCCCCCGAAATTAATTAAAGATGAGAAGCATACTTGCCCTTTTGTTGGTAAAGCTGGTTGATGAAAATGCAGAACTTCATCAACTGAAGTGACTCGGATATCTGCCTTGTATGCTTACCTCGAAGCACAGTGGTAGTTGGGGTAGAAATTGGTTGAATAAATGAAGAGACTGATCCAAGATATGGGGTCTGTTCATGAACTTATTGACTGTTAAACTAAGTTGTGTTGATAAACTCAGACTACCTAGCTAAGGAAAGTGTGGACGGAAGTTGGAGACAGATGACTTCGCTCAGAATTAGATTGTTTTTTAGTGTAAACACCTGTGTTTTTATTTCTTAGTTGTTTCGAAATGTAGTGTTTAAGGGGTTTATTGCCGTTGATAATATCCAATTTTGTTTACGATTTCTAAGTAGGAACAGTTGACGGTTTCCTGGCCCAAAAACTATAGGGTCATATCCTCCTTAATCTCATCAGTGAGTAGAATCATAAGCAACTTTTGGTAAGACAACATGCTGAGACGATGGGATTTATCTCGACATTTTGAAGTGCATACAGTAACACCCCGTAAAAAGTACTAGTGGGGACCATGTTCTCTTTTAAGAATCGATGAAAATTCGGAGAATGACCTTGTAATTGCATAGAACTAGAGACCAATAACTTTAGCCTTAGAAACCAGAAAAAGTATGTAGCAATCTAAGAGGTTAAAGAGAAAATGACGAAAAATAGAGTACTCCAGTATTCCATGCTTAAAACTTCCTGGATATCTACATCAAGCGCTACTTTAACTAACCAAAGAAAGTAACTAGACTGATGAACGCCAGTCTATTAGCGTGATCCTGTTGTGTGTCGTCGAAAGATACATTTACACTTAGTTGACCAAAATAATAAAAGCAATCATTTCTTGCTACCGAGTTTTTACCAATCGACCATTTAGTTGTATGACGTCTTACTTCTAACATATTAACGCTGTCTATTTTGATGTTTACACTTTGATAGGGAGGGAATAAACAGCAGTATCAAGTGGATTGCTGATAAGGTTAAAGGTAACGCTAAACAAAGGCCACCAAAACAATTTGAAATCCCGTAACGTGTCTCCGTAAAACTTTTTTTGTTCATATAGTACTCAAAGGATTCTGTGGTACTACATACTTTTATTTAACATCTTTTGGCAGGTTTAATAGTAAATGCATGTAAATCTGTATCATAAAAATATGACGAAAATGTATATTAACTTAGGTTTTCTTTCATTGTACAACAAGATGATTTCAGTAGTTGTAATCTTTCCTTTGATTTATTGTCGAGTGATAAGGTTCTAAAAGACAACAGTAGATATTGACATTAATAACAATTGAATTAAACTAAAAGTAACAAATAGTACCAATCGTACAAGTAGTTCTCCTAACTATCTTGAGTAAAGCAACGACTAAGTTTCGAGGATTTAATTCGCGTTATTCTGATTAAATGTTTGTCCTTGCTCTCTTCAACGTAGTAACAACCAGCTTTATCATTAATAAAAAATGTACTAGTTATGATCGTGAAACATGAACTCCAACTCAATTGCAAAATCAACTTGGTTTTACCTCTGGGGTTGTTTTAACTTTGGCAACTTTAGCTATGTATCACAATCAGTTGTTGCACAGTATTCAATTTTACTAATTATTCTGACAGGAATATAGTTTTCTCGTTGTATATATACAGCTTACAAGTTGTAGTAAGAAAAAGAGTGGATGGACCTGCGGGATTACAAACGATTTTGAGACATGTCATTTGAAGTCTATAATCATCGGTTGCGATAAGCACACGGAGACCATCTTGGTAGTTCATACTTGTTATGACTCAGTCAAATCTTCGATGGCTTCATGGACTAGTGCCGACTGGCCATCCTTACCTGATACTTGACTCCTAACCCCAAACATTGCTTACTCGGTAATCCAAAGATACATGAACAATGCTTCAAAGACACCTATGATCGAATACTAGTAACCTACGACTATCTTTTATTCTTAATGTCTTTCACACCCTTGAAGTAGAATGAAATGAATTGTTGTACAGTAAGCTCGTCGTTTGGTTGGCAGATAGATATCTGCTCTACGCCACAAGTGATGGGATTCGACAAAATTCAAGCGGGCTTTCTTAATTTTCCGAGACTTCGTGAGTGAATTAGTCGACACACTCGACTACTCCACTCCCTATCACTGATTCAGGTGCTGATGAGGACCGATGAGCGTTATCTCTTAACGAATATCTATGACAAAGTCAAATAAGCATGGAAAGTTGGGCAACCCTGGCAAACACCACTTGAAGTTATCAATTTCAATAACAGGTCGCTTTATTAATGTAAGGTTTAGCAATGCATAAGTTTGCTATTTTATATAAATCGATCAGCAAATAGTCTGTTTACTTTTATGCATGAGGAGGGAGCAATTTCATAATAAAGTAGCGGAACTTACGCAAAACAGCCATCATATTGACTTAGACAGTTTGTTAGAGCCCAACAAAACGTTGCATAAACACGCCATGGTAGACTGGCATCGGATGCAAAACGATAATACGTTAATTTACATAAATCATTTGAAAGGAATGAATCGCCTGAAAGTCGCTTCGAACTTCTTAATGGAGTTTGAAGATGTCCAGCGGATAACATTGTACTTGTATATGAGCTGTCAGGAACTGGATAGTTTACTGACTGTTTGTACTGAGTGGAGAGCAAACCGACGAACCTCAAATGCTTTTCAACTGCCTTAAAAAACGGAACAATGCAGTATAAAGAAGTGGTTAAGATGATTACCAAGTAACAAGTGTGTTTAAGCCATCCACGTAAGTGTTTTGAGAAAGTATTAAAACACCTAAAATTAATTCTCATGGGTACCGTTTCACAGGACATCAGCTTGAACTCTTCATAAAGCACATTTTGGTTAACATGGTAGTATTGTTTCCCATCACATGACACATTTGATTCACATAACAGTATAGAGACCAGTAATTACGTATTGAGCTGGATTACGATTGCTTAGTAATAAGATTAACGTCAGTTTTCTGGTTAACGAGATTTTTATGACAAAAGCTTTCCCTTGATAATAGCTGTGAGATAGGTGTTATTCCTATAGTACTAAATGTATATACATTTTGGTAACTAGTTACTAAGTATATAATCAACAAAAGTCATCCGTTAGGGAGTGGGGAAGGAACCATCACTTTTGGTGTCGGACCAAATTTTCTTTTCTGCGCTCTAAATTTTAACGTTCTTCCTAGCAAACCGATTCGAGCAAATTCAGAGAGATAATAAGTCGAAATATTTCTTTAGTGATGCTTGAATTAGTCTGCCGGGCAAAAAGTTGGAGCTATTCTGATCTCAATTACTGAGATGATTTTGAATATAATTTATACATCATGTCTTCAATGAGCACTTTGCATCCGATTTGGATCAAACTGTTCGTCTGAACTTTGACGATCATTCTTATCAATTATTAAAAGAAGGCGACAATCGGTTCGATTCATGCAACTGAATTTAGGAAGTAGTTGGAATTATCAAAAGTAACAAAGTTACCTCTAATCCATCCACAAAAAGCAGTAAGATCCGCCCAAGAGACTGTTGAACCGATCCAAATTGGTCTTCATTGTAAGCGGCCAGTGTCAAACAAGCTAAGATTTCTGTTGCCCAGATAATAACTTGACCACTTGTTCGTGCTAGCGGTTTCTCGATGTCCAAGTCGTCTGCATGTTCAATATCTGTAGCAGTTGAGAAAAGGTGTGCTGTCGAAGCATAGGGTATTTCTGAAGATAAAATACTGAACAGTTGTGTTCTAGACAATCGTGTGTATAACTTGGAAAGAATAAAAATAAGATAGATCTTAGTTAAAAAACAATAGGATACGTATATGTAAAATAAGGCGACGCGATGAAATGAACAAGCTAGTAGACACTGTTTTTATTAGATTACAGCGGACTCCTACTACATCCAACTGAAAAGGTCTTGTAATCGGTTGGGCTTTCCTACGATTACTACTCATGATCTAGCTAAATTCATAGAAGACTATGAAACCAGTTGAAATCTGAGAAGAAATAAACTTTCTTGATACTGACTTACAGAATACTCTAGGAACTATGAAAATGTGAGACCACAAAGATATAAGACCCTTAAAACTACAAATGATCTAAAGCTGTAATCGCTTGATATATTTAATACGTAGACAAAACGGTGTAATGTTACTTCAGCCGCGTATACTGAACTTCGGCACCAACAATTAAGATTTGACGAAATAAAAAGTTTTAAACTTGTGTTCTGATCATTGCTCTAATCAAGTATTTTGCTTCATATTTAACCAGCTGTAGTGCACATCATTGTTAATCATCTCCATAAATATTCCACTTATTTCCGAACAAGTCTGGTTTTGTCTAATTGTCAACAAAATCCAGTGTATCCAATATTTTTGTTAAATGAAAATTCTAGTCGTTTATTTTTTACCAGCGTACCTTAGAAAGCAGAGTGCGACCAACATTTATTAAATTTCGAGCAATTATGGACCCGGAAGGTTGCATACCAGACACATTTCCATTAGTAGCAGACAATTGTTTTACTTTAACGCTGTTGCGTTGACGCAGATTTGATTCAAATGATGAGGGTAGATACTGTCTATATTTAAAGTCAATATTTTTGGGCCAAAGAGCTGAAAATAAGCGAAAAAATCTGAATTATGGTGCATTGGCGTATAGATGTTACAAACGTGGGATCATGAGAATTGACAAGCACAAATGGTTTCAGTATACACTAGAAATGCCTATCGAAAAATGAGAAAAGTAAATGGGACTGTAGCGTTACTACATACAACTCGTCTGGTATCTGAAAATATTCGACCTGGACAGACAGTGAGAATGGAGAACTTATGTGATGCGAATCGAGATCATTTGTTTGAGTTAGTTTGGTCCCAGTGAACAGGATCAAAGGATAGAATAGCTGGTCAACAGGGGGAGTCCTGTTAAACAATAAAATTACAGAATAATTAAAAAGTAAGCACGACTAAATACCACTCGAAACAAAAATAAGCATACATCATTTACTAGTTTATGGAATTAGGACGTTAATTTTAGGATTATTTCTCGCCACAGAACATACATTTACATTCCACTGAAAAGATCATCCTAGTTTTTTGATTAACTAATAAGGGGTCTTTTTCTTAGATATCCTTTAAATGATGTGAATACAATTGTCTTATAAACAGTATGAATCTCTAGATTAAGTGGGACAGTTGAACCTACTGACAAGTTATTAATCTTAGAAATATTATCAGCTCTGATGGGTCTGCAAAGCAACGGAATGGCTATAAATTGGTAGTTTTACATTTGGAGACTAATTTGACTGATGGCACGAAAATATCCATACGCATATACGAGGTCGTTCATTTCATCTGATTTACATTACATCTAAGGGAAGAGGATACAGTTGATTTGTATACAATAACTAATGAACTAATAGTGGAGACACTGTACAATACGTAACTACATAAACATGGGTGGATGAGGAAATTAAGAGATAGTAAGGAGTCATCTTAGAAAATGAATGGAATGTTTTAAATGAAACCATTTGACAGTAGTGATGTCTAGCTAAACTATCCATCAAGGATATAAAATTTGTAACCACTTAAAATAAGTTCCTTAGCTTTAGTCAAAGTTTAAGAAGGCGTAAGTTACTGGAAGTGATAGGGATGACTGATTGTATTTAAGAATGATAGTTGAAAATCTCTATAAAACTATTAATAGAAGTCGCACTTAAGCAACTGGCTTTACCTGTATTGATTTGGGTAATCAAATAGTAATATAACGATGTTGATAAACTGGATATTTTGAAAACTATACATACGAACACCGGATGGTTGACCGTACGTTTAGTGCTAATGCGGAAACACTATACGAATCCAGAGTATTGACTAAATCTCCTCTATATACTTTGAAACGCTGATTCATTAAGTCATATGTTAGTCATACTTATCCATTTTTGAGGAATGAGATATACCGCAGCAAAGTTTTGATGGAGTGAAACAAGTGTAGGGGATTTCGAAAGCCGGTAGCTAAATAATTGAGGCGAACCGA